CCGGCATGTGTTCCCTCACCTCCCGATCTACTGAGCCGACCTGTGACAGTCTCATTGTCACAGGTCGGCTAGAATTATGAGGTGAGTGAAAAGCCCCTCCCCCCTCATAGTTCTCCTTTAAGTCTAATGGCGGAGGAATGAGATGTCCTACTTACCCCGTTCCTCACGCTACCTTCGCACTGCAGCAAGCTGTATGCTTTGGCGTTCTCTTACCCATCACGTGTGTTTTGTTACAGATACCCCCGATATTTAAACATGGCTTCTTTCATCAAGCTCTGTCCCTTCTACACCCGGGACCCCTCCGTGTTCCTGCGGGTGGCCCGACCCGCCATCCTGCGCAGTGCAGAGCGCTGTCCGGTCTTGGTGTCGCGGGCCTGGTCCACTACTGCGGGTAATCAGCAGAGGTCCAAGGACTCCGCACCGCCTACTGGAGGTAAGTCACGGGGCTATAAAGCCAACGGATGTCCTTTGGATTCCAACTGTATTAAAGAATACCAATCGCACGTTGCCAGAAGGAGGAGGAGGAGGACTGCTGCAGGGCCAGGGAGACAGAACATAATGGCGGAGATCCTGGGCTATGTGTGCAATGAGTTATGAGAAAAGAATGTAGAAAATGGTCTATGTGGGTCATAACCAAAACACTATATACTTGTAGCCCCCCATGACCTTCTGTGAGGTGACTACTACATTCAGTGATAGCCGGGGCTGTAGTCAACCAGGCTGGATTGGTAGTGGCAATTACATGGTTAATCCCAGGTGTCTACCATTGCCTGTACCCCCCTGGGCGGAGCGAGACTCTGTCATATTGTGGGACAGCCAATGGTGGATACTGTAATGTATGTACAGTACAGAAGACAATCACTGGGCCTCTCTCAGCCAGTGGTGCATGCTGGGACAGGGTACATATATTGGTGGGAGCTGCCATGTGCTCAGACTAGCCGGGACCAGCCATGGATTAGGGCTGGGGTCCTGTTCACCCTGCCCCCCAGGCTAGGCCGAGGCCTGGGGGTTGGGCATGGGCTGGAGTGAGGGAAAAGGTCTCCCTGAGGATTCCAACATGGAGGAGGCCCGTGAGACTGAAAGAGGAAGAGAACCAGGACCAGTGCAGGCTCTTGAGGTACCCTGGAACTATGTGGGCTTCAGAGCATGGTCGGTGTCTTTCCTGTGATTGAGGATCTGCATCCATCTGGACTGTCTGGTACATCGGTGGTCATCTGATGTGGTCGGGTGGAGCTGCATGGCTACTTTTACAAGGTCCGGTGAGTCTGGAGCTTCTGATGGTTACCCCTAGACACCTAGAACCCCCTATACCCGCTGGACACCTAGAACCCCTATACCCTCTCGACACCTAGAACCCCCTATACCCTCTGGACAACTAGAACCCCTATACCCTCTGGACAACTAGAACCCCTATACCCTCTGGACACCTAGAACCCCTATACCCTCTGGACAACTAGAACCCCTATACCCTCTGGACACCTAGAACCCCTATACCCTCTGGACACCTAGAACCCCTCCCCCCCTCTCTCCCAAAGAAGATGTTCAATAAACTGTTTAATTAGCATTCTACTACTGAAGTGGACGTCAATTTATGGGCACCAGAAGAAGGGCGGGTAGTGCTAACGGGGCGCAGCTGGAGACCAACCCCCTAGACCGACTAGATGTGGAGCGGGCAACCAGCGGCCCCCTGCGGGGAGTTATCGCCACATACTGTATTCTGCGGGTAATCAGCAGAGGTCCAAGGACTCCGCACCGCCTACTGGAGGTAAGTCACGGGGCTATAAAGCCAACGGATGTCCTTTGGATTCCAACTGTATTAAAGAATACCAATCGCACGTTGCCAGAAGGAGGAGGAGGAGGACTGCTGCAGGGCCAGGGAGACAGAACATAATGGCGGAGATCCTGGGCTATGTGTGCAATGAGTTATGAGAAAAGAATGTAGAAAATGGTCTATGTGGGTCATAACCAAAACACTATATACTTGTAGCCCCCCATGACCTTCTGTGAGGTGACTACTACATTCAGTGATAGCCGGGGCTGTAGTCAACCAGGCTGGATTGGTAGTGGCAATTACATGGTTAATCCCAGGTGTCTACCATTGCCTGTACCCCCCTGGGCGGAGCGAGACTCTGTCATATTGTGGGACAGCCAATGGTGGATACTGTAATGTATGTACAGTACAGAAGACAATCACTGGGCCTCTCTCAGCCAGTGGTGCATGCTGGGACAGGGTACATATATTGGTGGGAGCTGCCATGTGCTCAGACTAGCCGGGACCAGCCATGGATTAGGGCTGGGGTCCTGTTCACCCTGCCCCCCAGGCTAGGCCGAGGCCTGGGGGTTGGGCATGGGCTGGAGTGAGGGAAAAGGTCTCCCTGAGGATTCCAACATGGAGGAGGCCCGTGAGACTGAAAGAGGAAGAGAACCAGGACCAGTGCAGGCTCTTGAGGTACCCTGGAACTATGTGGGCTTCAGAGCATGGTCGGTGTCTTTCCTGTGATTGAGGATCTGCATCCATCTGGACTGTCTGGTACATCGGTGGTCATCTGATGTGGTCGGGTGGAGCTGCATGGCTACTTTTACAAGGTCCGGTGAGTCTGGAGCTTCTGATGGTTACCCCTAGACACCTAGAACCCCCTATACCCTCTGGACACCTAGAACCCCTATACCCTCTGGACACCTAGAACCCCCTATACCCTCTGGACAACTAGAACCCCTATACCCTCTGGACAACTAGAACCCCTATACCCTCTGGACACCTAGAACCCCTATACCCTCTGGACACCTAGAACCCCTCCCCCCCTCTCTCCCAAAGAAGATGTTCAATAAACTGTTTAATTAGCATTCTACTACTGAAGTGGACGTCAATTTATGGGCACCAGAAGAAGGGCGGTTAGTGCTAACGGGGCGCAGCTGGAGACCAACCCCCTAGACCGACTAGATGTGGAGCGGGCAACCAGCGGCCCCCTGCGGGGAGTTATCGCCACATACTGTATGGACTAAAGTTTGTGGAAACCGGACCATCACACCTAACTATATGGCCAATAGAATGTGGACTCTCCTCCAAATGACTGAGTTCACATGTTTCAGTTGAGGGGTAATGCTACACCATACAAAGACATTTCAAGGAATTGTGGGCCTCCAACCTTGCAGCAACCCTTTGGAGAAGGCCCTTTTCTGCTCCAACATGACTGTGCCCTTGTGTACAAAGCTAGCTACATAAAGACATACAGGCTTATTCACAGAGGGGTGAAGAGTCCGGTGAAGGCCGGAGAAGGCCGGAGAAGGGAACAGTCTAGGCCAACATAGTTGATTTGGAAAAATTAGCCAATACGGCTCACTTTCCAGTTCAACTATGTTGTCCTAGAGTGCTCACTTCTCCGGCCTTCTCCAGACTCTTCACCCTTCTGTGAATAACCCTGATAGATAAATAGATAGATGACTATAGATAGAGAGATAGAGGACAATAGATAGATGACAATAGACAGATAGATAGATAGATAGATAGATAGATAGATAGATAGATAGATAGATAGATAGATGAGAGATAGATATATAGATAGATTATAGATAGATAGATAATAGATAGATAGATAGATAGAGGACAATAGATAGATAGATAGATAATAGATAGAGGACAATAGATAGATAGATAGATAGATAATAGATAGAGGACGATAGATAGATAGATAGATAGATAGATAGATAGATAGATAGATAGATGAGAGATAGATAGATAGATTATAGATAGATAGATAGATAATAGATAGATAGATAGATAGATAGATAGATAGATAGATAGATAGATGAGAGATAGATATATAGATAGATTATAGATAGATAGATAGATAGATAGATAGATAGATAGATGACAATAGATAGATAGATAGAAACATAGATAGATAGATAGATAGATATATAGATAGATAGATAGATGATAGATAGATAGATAGATAGATAGATAGATAGATAGATGAGTTTGCTGTGAAGGAACACGGATTTCTTTCAAATCTCTTTATGCATGAAGCCCACAGACCCCCAGGAATGAAACTTAAGGTGCCCATACACTGCTCGATTCTCGTACGAGAATGGCAGGAAATCCCGCGATCGTACGAGAATCGAGCAGTGTGAGCGAAGACGTGCGACCGTTTCTACTGTACGGTCGCATCGTTCAGCATTGCGGTCATCGGAAGCCCGCCCCTCACGGGGGGCGCGGCTTGCGATGATCGAGAGTGCGATCTGCCTGTCCAAGATGGGCAGATCGTAGGTTTTTTTAATCCCTGTACAACCATCGCAACACTAAGGTCTTGCGATGGTTGTACAGTGTATGGGCAAAAATATGTGGATATCCCTCCAAATTACTGTGTTCAGCCTGCAGACATTTTAGACAACTCTACACTTCCCGCCTCCTTCTAACACTTTGGGGAAGGGCAACTTCTCTTGCAGGAAGACAATGCCCCTTTGCACAAAGCCGGCCCCACGAAGACACGGTTTGACGGTGTTGGTTGGTTGTCCTTGTCACGTGCCTTGGTGTGAGCCTGAAGTGACGAGGAAGGCCTTTCCTTGCTGCTCTCGCCTGGGCCCCACTCAGGGTCGCCACCATTTCTTCAAGCGAAACCCGAACACTCTAGCAACGCGGGGACATTTTTTTGGGAGAATGATTCGTAGCTTATTCATATGTTAATATCACATGTGAGACTATTTTCAGTGGGGGGTGGAGGGGGCGGTAGCCCCTATCTTAATTTTGGTTGCCCCCGTCTGCCTGACATCTTGTGTCCGGGTTTCTGCTGCCATGAAACCCGGACACGGCATTCAAAACCCGGACTGTCCGGGCGAATCCTGGACAGGTGGCAACCCTAGCCCCACTGGAGATGGAACCGTAGTTGTACAGACGGAGAGTGGCACGAGTGCCTGTTGCTGGTAGGACTGCCGGACACGCCGGATAGGCTGATGCCGACAACAGGGCGCCAGAGGCAGCTGGCGGTCGCTGGCAGATCAGGCGACACCGGTGTGAGGAGCTGAAGCGTAGTCAGGAACAAGCCAGATCGGTAACGTGCGGTCAGCGTGGTACATAAGCAGGAACCAGAAGCGGAGTCAGGAACAGGCCGGGTCATACACTTGCGAGCAGAATGGTACCAGATCAGGAAGCAGATAGGATAGTCGAGGACCAGCCGAGGTCACAGGGCAGGCAGCAAGCAGGCAGAGCCAGGAGTCAAGCGGGTATCAGGAGCGATCACATATGTAGAGTACAGCTGAAGATCTCTCAGCAAGGTGCAGATGCAGGAGCCATCTTTAAATAGCCCGGCTCCGCTCAGCATTGGAATCATTGGAAGCCCGCCCCGCTTGTGATGATCGCAAGTACCATCTGCCTGGCTAAGATCAAGTGTAGTATCTGTTCTTATCAGTTGTCGGGAATTGAAAGTCCGCTGTCGCCTAGGAAGGGTGGATGGACGGACCGGTAGGTTCCTGGCGTAATTGGTAGGGAGCCGGATGAGGTTCCAGGCCCCGGAGTTTTCGACCCTAGTTAATGGGTGGGCTCCGGCGGAGGGATCTCTGAAGGTGAACTATCTCCTGATGGGAACGGATACGAAGCTTGGTCTGGCTGGAGGGTTTGGGGGCGGCAGAAGCCCGTGGTGTTGTGCCCCCTGGGGGTGGCGTCCCAGGGGTGCTCAGGAAGTCACTTGGGTGTGGGACCCCACTTTGACTCACTGATCATTCGGTCACACACCACATTGCTTATTTTGGACAGGCCTTATGGCTAGTCTGGGGCAATATTTTTGCACTCGGCCCCTAAGGCCAGTCAGCGTGGTGCGCTGGCACTTTAGTACCATTTATTGCACTCTTTGCACGTTTGCACGATTGGCTTTTTTTCTAAAGCTTGACCCACAGATGCGGAAGGTGCAGGTTTCTTCGGGGCCTATTCCTGACGCTGGGAGGAGATTCTGTGCCTCCTACGGGGTTCTCTGTCTCCTCCCACCCAGGAGGGGGGTTTCTCTTCGGGAGATTCCCCCCTGCCTAGTACTGAGGGGGACCTGTTTCGGCAGGTCCCCCGACGGAAATGGTCCATCGGCCTTCGGGTTGGTGGGCCAACAGTCTCAACCCCTGTCAGGAGCCTTGCGCCCCGGGGGGGTCGGGAAAGTAGGTCCCTTCTTTGGAAGGACCTTGCACCCTTGTGCACGTTTTTGTGTGCTTTTTTTTGTTCACAGGGGGAAGTTTGTTTTGATGCGCGTCCACGGGCTTCGAAAAAAAAAATCTGCCTGTCCAAGATGGGCAGATCGTACAAGATTTGAGTTACCTTACGACCGTCGCGCAACGGAAGTCGGGGCAGCTTAAGGCAATTGAAATCTTGTACGCTCTGCCCATCTTGGACAGGCAGATGGTACTTGCGATCATCACAAGCGGGGCGGGCTTCCAATGCTGAGCGGGCAGCGTGCGCTTGTGCACACCGGCCCGTGCGGCGTTTGTCTTCTGAGCACGCCAGCAACCCGCCGGTTATCGTACGATTTTCCAGCGTGCTGGGAAGGCAAAAGACGTGCGACCGTACAGTGGAAACGGTCGCGCGCCTTCCGTACACCTGCCGATTCTCGTACGATCCGCGGGATCACCCTCAACCATCGTACGATAATCGGCAGGTGTAGGGGCACCTTTATTTTCAGTGACATTTGGAAATTACAGTCACCCGGCTGGAAATAAAAATCGTTATCCTAGTGTAAAGCTTCCTCAAGGTACACAGTATATATAATGTATACTCTACAGCAGATTTTCAGCACATGTTGTATAGAGTTCATAATGTACCTTTTTTTTTTTTCTCTAGTCTCTTCCGGAGCCTCCAGCCGACGCACCCTGGCTCAAGCAGCCCCACACGCTGCCACCGCCAACGCCACGTGCCCCTTTATTGAGACGGAGATGGGGAAGGAGGAGAGTGTTATCATTCACAAAGCTGGGCCTGACGTGCAGGAGGATCTGAAGACTTTCAAAACTGGTATGCATTGTCCATAGTTTCCAAGCGCCCACCTTTCCTCCATAACGGTTATTTATGAATACACCCCCACGTGTTCACCTTGGGGTGGGGATTGCGCCTCTCCGCAACTGATTGGGGGTGGCAGTCGCAGTTTTGTCAAGGGAAAAGGGGGGGAGGGGTTTGATTGGTACATCACCCTCCTCT